ACAAGCTTCCCTGGATGCAGCGGGTGAAGCTTGCACACGGTGGCCTCCACTGCCACCCACCACCCCACACTGCCACCTCCCAGGACCTGGGGGATGAGGGGAAGCTTGCCCCGGTATCCCCTCTGTCCCCCTCCACCAGCACCCCATGCCACTGCCACCTCCAAGGAGCAGGGTTGGGGGTGTGCTGTGAGGCCAGCGGCACTGGCCTCGCCCCCCACATCCCCACCATTATGGTGGTGATCCACCATTCGTTCCTGGTGGAGCACTCTGATTGGTTGTTTCAGTAAGCACTGTGATTGGCTGCCAAGACAACCAATTAGAGTGCTCCAAGAGACAAACAGACGGATTAAGCCCTTTATATATATTCTAGACAATTGCCCGTCAAGAATGAAAGTGGGGGGAGGGGGCTGGGATGGAGTGCCACCACCTAACACCCCATGCTGCCACTGTTCTGCCTCTTGGAGGGAGCGGGGTAAGGGAGCCAAGGCCAGCGCTGCCTGCCTCGGCTCCCCACCCTCTATCCAGTCCTCAGCATGGCTTCGGAATCGTGGCTGCGCTCTCCCACGCTTGGAGCACTCTGATTGGCTGTTTCTGCTGGCCAGAGCACAAACAAAGCATTACAGACAGACAGACAGACGTAGGCTTTTATAATATTAGAATAGAATTTATATATAAAGTATTTTAGATTTACCAGTCTATTTTACCCTATTCAGAAGCCTCAGAGTGGCATGATCAACCATCTTATTTAGCCCAAGCACATTAAGAAATACTTAGTTGGAATACTCAAGGTATTTTTTAAAACATTAGCTAAAATTAACCCCTGCTATAATTTTACTAAGCACAAAAGCATCCCATGAAATGTCACTGTACTGTGACCAGTATCCAATCTATGAGCTACCGTCACCACTGCCACTTAGAATACATTTGTCCCTCCTCCATGTGATTTTGTTCCCTGCTTAGGCTCTAATCACAAGGTGGGCACTTAGCACATCAAAATGCTAAAGCTCATGGAAAAACTCAGAGGAGCCTTCCCTGGAATCATGCTGCTGCTAATAATAATAATAATAAATAAAAGCCTTGCATTACTTTTGTCCCTCAGACACTACCAACACCTCTCAGCCACCAAACAAATCAACCAGACACCAGCAAAATTTGTGCATTCAGGTGCTCAAACAACAAAACACAATGTTGCCCGATTCAAAATTTTAAAACTTAAATATGACTTCAAAAGAGTTGTGAAAAACAATAAAAGAAAAAGAATGGCAGACACAGGTAAGTAGAGACTCACTCAGTCACTCTAAGAAGAAGAAACAAGCTGAACTCTGGCCAAACGCTTCAAAGTAAAAAAAAATATTCTAAAAAGTCACTTCCATTATAAAATAAACTGGCATTGTCAAAAGAAAAAATGTTAACTGAGCTAGAGTTTAATAAAGAGGAAGTTGGGGAAAAACAGCTAATGTTTAAGTATTTTCTATTAAGTAGAACACAAGTTTCTCCTCTCTCGAGCGAGAGCCCTAATCATCACTGAGCTTAGAGTGATTTTCAACCAGGGTGCCACAGCACCCTAGGATACCTTGAGATCCCTTCAAGAGTACCATGGGGGGGCCATACAGTGTTAGCTGCGTTAGGTGTGAAAACAGGATTTGCAAGATAAACCCTGAAATTTCAAATAGAAATCCATAGTACTTAAAACATTGTGATCTGTTGTGATCCTGCCGAGTTCTTTGTAACAGAAAAACTACTCTATTACTTTTCTGTAGTCATGAAACAAGTAAAACTAAGACCTGGCATTTTCCAAGGAGTGCCTTAAGTCTAAAAACATTGAGAACCACTGGCTTAGAGTCATGCTACATTCTCTCTTTGCATGCATATTTAAGCATTTCATGCAAACAGCTTCAATAGGACAGGTTCTACTCCCTGCAGACAAACTGAGTCTGGGGAAGCACTATGTAATAAAGGAAAAGCCCCACCCCATGCTTTGTGCAATCCCTGATCAAGGAAGTGCTCTGAAGAGTCTTACCTGGTGGCACCTTGCAGACAAAATAGATGGAGGAGTGCCTAGCTTGTGATTCCCAGCAGGGGTTAGACATAAGTTTGATAATGAGCTGCTCAGCACTGTCAGGAGGCAGTTCTGGCCAGGCCCAGCAGCAGTCCTTTAGAAGTCTGAATGACTGGGACACCTGCAAACTTGATGTGCCCCCAAGGCTAGGTTGTAGGCGAGGTAAGGTTTTGAGACTCCTTGGTTTGAACCTCTGGTAGAAATGATGCTGAACTGAAGGGCCTAAATTTATTGTGGATTTAGCCCTTTAGCCATCTGTCTTCTGCAAAAAGGGAAAGGAAATTCCTAGACATGCTTTGCAAAAGGAACCATTTTGGGTTTTATAACACACTCATGGAAAAGTCTTGGTTTTCAAAATCTGGGGAACTGTCTGTTCATTGTAACTCCTCCCACACAGTGGGGGCAAAACTACACAAGTGACCTTTTCACTGACACAGGCTAATTATAAATGGTTAGAGTACAGGCTTCAATTGCAGTCTAAACCTAATGCTTAGAATACATTGGCTTAGGGCCAGTTTTCATAATACATTATGGGTGACATTGACTTCAATTTTAAATCCAAATAGTTCTACCAAAGTAGATAATAAGTAGTCTGATACCGCCCCATGAAAGAAAAGCTGAACAACCATTTTCCCCACTGTGTTGCATGATAGTTTGGGAAGTTGCTATTGCTTCAGGAAAGAAAGCATTCACAGATACCCTGACACAGAGCAGTGCCACCCACATTTTCATGCAGGGCATTCTGAAATATTCTACAATTAATGTAGCTGTGTAGGAAGGTCAGTTCTCCAGAAACATAGCTTCATCTGTACTGCAAAAAACAGTGTGGTAATCATTTATCAAAGAACAACTCTGGCTGCTTAGGCGTAGCAGCAGAACATGGTTAGTTGCATGTTTCCCAATAGAGTATTAACCCAATTGTGTGTTTGGATATAATTATGTTTTGAGCTAGATTTGTTGTTAATTGAATATAGATTATTAAACATTAAAGTGTAGTCAGGGACTTTCTCAGCAAAAAGCACTAGTGTGGGGCTGAATCCTGAATAACCATATAAATTAGTAAAGTGGAAATCTTTGTATTCAGTGGGCACATCTACACATGCCCTCACTGCGCATTTGGTACTGCACAGTCATTTAGTACTTGCTAAAGCAGTCCTGGTGGTGCACGGTTATTTTTAGATGCTGTGTTGCCGTAGTGATGAGCTACAGTGCTGTAGCTTGTTGCTACGGTGACTAGTGCAGTAATGCCAACTGTTGCAAAACCATCGCAAGACTTGGGATTTCAAAGTCAAAATAACTCTGAGTCGTGATCTCCTGATCCAACCCTCAGATCCCCAGGTTTTCCCAGCTAGTAAGTGGAGGAAAAGGGGAAGGGGGGAGGTCATTGCCCCCAGGTGAGGGAGGGAATGGGGCAGGAGCAGGGGCAGGGATAAATGGGGCCCCAGGGCCAGGGCAGATCATCCAGAGGTGCCGGGGCGGGGAGGGCGCAGCTCCCTGCAGCAGCACACAGCCCTGGGGAGGCATGGGGGCACATTCCCCCTGCAGGGCAGAGGTTGGCTGTCCACTGTGGGCTGGGGCACTGTGCCCTGCCACTTTGCCCCAAGAACTCAGTTGTGCAATGCCATTGCCACCCACTGGGCAGGCAGGGGACATGGGATGCATTGGCCTCACAGTGTGTCCCCTGCCTGCCCAGCAGCAGGAGGCACAGTCTATCCATATCATCTGGTGGCTCAGAAACTGGCTCCAGAGTTGGATCAAAGAGATTCAATATAGATGCAGCAAGCTGGAAGCCAATCTCTTTTGAACTGAAATTGCTGTGTGTCCATTCATTTGTATAATATATATTTGAGAACTTGGTTAAAGGACCAGCGGCTCTGATAGTAATGTCATTAGTATGGAAATTGGTATCAATCACAAGTCTTCCATCATAAACAAGACATGCCTCATTAATTGCCTTGAAGGTTTCATAATCCACTCCCTTGTGGGAAAAGTTAAGGAATGCCTAAAAAGATGTAATAAGTATAGGTTATAAACATTGCTCATTGTCTATTATGAGTCCTCTGGCACATTTTGAACTGTGATTTATTTTGTACACGCTATTTGTACATACTGGGCATGTCTATGCATGAATTTATACATACCTAAACTTAACGTGTCTTAGCATAATGCACGTTAAGGCTGTCGGGGCCGAGGGGCTGTGGCCAGCAGCCCGGGCACGTGGGCCGGGGAAAGGGTCGGCACGGCGAACTAGAATTAGGCACTGACGCGTAGAGGTTGATTAAAGATTGTTTTACTTACACCGTAGGTGGTCGCGGCGCAGGCAGGAAAAACTTTCTTGAGTTGCAGTTACAGACAAACACAAGCGAAGTTTGCTAGGCTCCACCGAAGACACACGAGCGGAGTTTGCTAGGCTCCACTAAACGAACATGAACAGAGCTCTGGATACCATTCACGGAGTTTGCTAGGCTCCGTGGAATGACTGAAATGAGAGTCCGAAAGGTGACTCTCCATGAACGCGCAGGGTAGGGTACGTCGAGGGATTGTGCGGTGACGGGGAGAGGCTAGAGGTTGATCAGGCCCCTGTATCCTCCTCTAAGTCACATGCGGAGTTTGCTAGGCTCCACGGCACGCTTAGAGTTCTTCACGAGATGGATATGAAGTCCTCCAACTTGAGCGGAAACTGCTCAAGCCTCTTATACGGCTAGCAAGTCAATCGCTAGCCGCCACGTGGGAATAATTTAGAAACAGCCAATAGTGGGAAACAAATTTACATACGAGTGGCAGGAACTCCTTTGCACCGGGGTTTTCTCTATGCAACTGAGAATTGCACCGTGCAAAGAAAGCTCCTTGTGGCGGGAAATAATTCTGCAGTGCCGAAGCGCACACAAAATCATACCCTTTGGGTCATGATAGTAGACACACCTAGTGTGTCTGTATGGTGTCAGCTTTGGGCTTCATTCTTCTTTCCAATATGTCTTGCTTCATTCTTCTTTCCAGATAAAGCCTTTCTGCCATTTGTGTTTCTCTTTCTCTATTCAATTTCAAAATGGAAAACTTATCTTAAAAACAAATATAAGTTCCAATCCTTGTATCAAAAAGAAAGAGAGGTTCTTCTCTTGATTAAGTCCCTCAACACATTTCTGATTGACAGGAGTTTCAGGAAAGAAAAAGCTTTTAGCTTCTTTACTATGTAAAACTGTACTATAAACTTACAGTTTCTTTCATAATAGAAACAGTTTCCAGTAGTCTAAGGAAGTTTGTGGACCATTCTTTGTGTGCCATTCAGAAATTGCCCAGAAAACAAGTTACACTTTCTGTCTGATTGAACATTGGAAACAGTGTTTGAAAGAATGTGATTTGCATGTAAAACTTCTGTTACTCAGACAGGAAAGCCAGAAGGAACATTCTGATTGCTTTGCTTTTCTTCTGTCCTAAAAAAAAGAAAGGACTGACTTTCATTTAAATTTTATTTAGGAGAGAGAATTTCTGGCAACATGTGAGGAAGCTTAGCTGTCAGTTGTTTGGCTGATGCTGTAGCATATAATATTGTTAATACTTCAGTACTCATAGAAAGTACCATTCTTTGTATGCCATTCAGAAGATGTGTTAAGCGTGTTTGCTTCAGACCAAGTACACCTACAAAATATTCTGTAATAAGCTGTGTCAGAAGAGTGTTGTTTTATGCAGGTACCTGAAAATTTCAGTGAATTTAACATCTTTGTCAACCAGTGTTGCTAATCTAAGAGGTTGCTTCTCATAGGCCAAACTAATTTCTAGCGGTGCACCATTACAGATTTTGGGGTCAATACCGATAGCCGATTTTTAAGAAGTCATATTGAATGATACCAATCCACTTCCTGATACAGCTGCGTCCAGTTGGTAAATCTGTTGTGGTGAAAGCGGAGGGCGGAGGAAAGGGGCATGGGGGGCAGATCAACACCCCCTGCCTTGAGGGAGGGAGTGGGGCTGGGGGGGCGTGGGACAGAGCTGCAGCTTACCTTGGGGTCGCGGCTCCTGCTGCTGCTCCCACCACTCATCCAGGAGGGCACAAGGAGGGGCATGTGCCCGAATCTGTGCTGGGTGGGCCGGGCAGGCTGCAGTGCTGCACTCGGGGCAGGCAGCGGCAGTGCTGGGAGGAGGGTTATGGGTGGGTGGGCTATAGCCCCCCCCGCAAGCCCCTTCCCAATGCTGCCACCACCTGCTCTGTTCACAACACAATGTTGCCCCAGCACACAGTGGCGACACATAGGGGGTGCATCCCCTGAGAGCACTGGTGCACTCCCTCACAACCAGCATCCCCTGCTTAGGCGGCAGGCAAGGGGGGCAAGCAGGAGTGCTGGTGTCCCCCCTGAGACTTCTGGCCAGAGAATGGGGATGCCAGGAGAAGTGCCACTGGCACTTTCAGAAGCATCTCTGGCCCTTCTAGGCATGCCACTGGCACTTCCAAGCAGCTTTCCCTCTTACAGCCCCCCAGTTGCTGACTGGCCACTGGGGGGGCAAGTGCTCCCCCTAACTCAGGAGGCATCAGTCATCTATGCCACAGCTGCAGCCTGCCTGGCCCGCCCTGCACAGATCCAGGGGCACATCCCCCCCAAACGCCTTCTCGGACAAGCGGTGAGAGCCACTGGACAAGCCACACGCAGCAGCAGGAGCTGCCTTCCCCTTACCCTGCACCCCCCAGATAAGCCACAGCTCCATCCCATGCCCTGCCCTGCCCAGCCCCAGCCCCACTCCCTCCCTCACCATGGACGGCATTGATCTGTGCCCCCTCCTCTTTCACCACAACAGACTTACCAGCAGGACGCAGCTCTCTGCACTGCCGAGCTGTGCTCCTCACTGCCTGCATGCTGCACTGCAGCTGAGTACACGAATGAGCATTTATCAGCCAAATTATCAGCCACATCAGGCCAATTTCCAAAATATAGTCAATTTTCTTTATATCTGTGCCGATCCAATATCAGACCGATGTATTGGTACACCTCTACTAATTTCCCATTACTTTATTATTTCCCAACTAGTGGTTGCTCTTTGTGTGTTGCTATAATAACTGCTGTTCCACTTTATTTAACAAAGAGAAGAGAAGACAATTGGTATCAATTGGCTCAGTGAAGATGACAAGGAACTGCATTGAGACGGACATTTGACTTTGCTACAGCATTAAGCTTTCTTTGGCAGTCCATTTGATGAATACTTCTCAGCTTGCTACAGTTGTCAAATGACTGGTCAGCAGTCAAGCACAAGCTACCAGCAAATGGTTTCTGCCTCTTGTTTTGTGTTTTAGTTAGGCTTCAGTGGGATCTGAAATTATATGTGGGATCTGAAATTATATTAAATTTTAAAAAGAAGCTCTACTACTTTGGGGGAGAAAGGCCCAAATATTAAAATCACAATTATACAAACAGTTTTGGGTTTAAGGAAAGTCTCACTTGATGTATTAAATGAAATGAAAAAGGCTCAAATTAAGTTGAATGGTGCTGATCTATAAAGTCTTGCCAAAATTTAATTACAGAGCTTTTACTCAAAAGCTTACTCCACTTCATAAAAACATTTAATCTAGGAGTTCTAATAAAACTACATCAGTTTTTTAAATATAGTTAATTTGTACTGCCTATACAGTTCTATCTTCCCAGTACATGAAAGCCACAAAATGATACATTTCCAGTCTGGTACAGAGTTATTCAAAGAAGAAAGCTTTTACTCAGAATTTTTTTTTAATGTAACAGAACAACAGGCTGTTTGCAGACATTTAAAAACAAAAACGGCGCTTTACTTTAAACTCCATACGCTTTCACACCAAGCCCAGCACATTCCCAGAAGAGGCAGTGTGTTAGCTGAACCCAGCTTGCCCAACATCTGTATAGATCTGGTATGGGCTTTTTTGGCACTTTTCTCTAATAGCTGATTGAATCAGCTATTAGATATAAGTGCCAAAGCACATCGTTGAAGTGCCTAATCTACACAGACGCTGCAGAGCTGAGACAAAGTAACGCACTGCTTTTTCCAGTAAAGCACAGTTTGTTTGTTGTTGTTGTTTTAATGTCTATTAGCAGCCGGTAGTTACAGTTAGATAGCCTGTGCTACTAAACTGTTTGTCCTTACAAAAGAACTTTATGAAATATACTTTATAATGCAAAACAAAAAAAATGCACCAACATCCTGAATAAACATTGAAAAAAGTATGTCTCGACTTTTAAAACAAAGATAACACTTGCATTTTGTATTAAGAAAGAACAGGATTTATTTTACAATCCCTTGCTTCCTCTCACAGTAAACTGATCAGTGAGTGGCAGGGAAGGGATGGAGGTTGGCTTTACCATGTGCTCCAGATCACTGTATTTTTTCTTCTTTTGTCTTTTATAGTTTGTCAGAATTTTTTCCACCCAAGTATAAACTCATGCAGTAATGCCTGCCTAAGGCGATGTTTATGCTGGCAGAACTGGCCCTAAATTAAGTAACTCAGATATTTGAACCAATCTCACTGCAGTCAAGAAGTCTGCCCAGCTAATTTACCCTGAAATTTGGGCAAAATTTCATGCTATCATTGCTGGACTGCTTTTGGTACCCGAGTAAGCTTGTTCAAGAGATAGCATCTGAAGTTGGTACTTACATACCAACTTTAGGCACATCTATATGAGACATGTACTGTGCAACTGCCTAATTAGCTCCACAGTAAAGTCTCAGCTTCTACATGTGCAGCCCTATTAGGCTGCAGGAAACTAACTCCACTATAGGTTAGTACATGTAAACACAAGAACTATCCTACAGTGGTGTTCTTTAGCACACAGCAACATGTGTAGATGCTGATGGGGTGGCTGGGGCACAAGGGTGCTTCAGTGTGGAGGCTGCCTGCTGTCTAGCCCCACCCTAGAGCACCCTCATACCCCAGCAAGCTCCTCCACAGCACACTGAGCTGGGTTAGAGCAGCCCTGAGCTGGCAGGCTGGTACCTTGGGCCCTCTGCCAGCCAGCGCTGCTCTGACCTGGCTCAAAATACTTCAGCTCAAGGAACACATGTAAACACAGTGCCTGGGAGCAATACACTCCAGTGTGATATGCACTGGAGTTTATTGTGTTGCATTAATTTCATTTGTAGACACCCCCACTGAGTGCCATAGTATTCAAGTAGGTGCAAGAACATGGGCCCTTAATTAAATAAAGGGAACTCATCATACTTGGACAAAAGAAGTAAGTGACATTAAAATATAGCATGAGCTATTTTATATGCTGAGGGGAGTTGTTTGTTTGTTTTTTTATGAAGTATATTGTAAAGATTGGGAGTTATATGCAAGTATTCCACAATATCTGCTGTTGCATCTACAGAGCATGTAGCTTTCAACTCATTACTTTTATGTAGCAATAGTACCCCTTAATTATTTCGCCAGTTTGTAAATTAGTATCTGGTACAATACAGAAGTTAAGAGAAGCACAGTAAAACCAAAATTAATAATAAAGGTATTGTACTCAGTGATAGAAGGTAACCAAAGGAGTCTATGTAAAAGTAGGACTATCTTTCTCACTTCACAATGCTGTAGATTTTAACATCAGGAGGGACAATTAAGTCACCTTACTTGAGCTCCTGCATATTCTTGGTTGTACCCAGTTACCCCTGCATTGATTTTGGTAATCTGTATAGCTAAAGCTCATCTTCCAGGAATGCATCCCTTCTTACTTTGCAGACAAGTGCTAGAGACTGTACCACTTTCCTCGGTAGTTTCCCCCAGTGATTAAGCAGTCTCTGCTGAAAATCCATGCCTTACTTCTAAGTTAAATGTGTCTTACTTCAGTTTCCTAGCATTGCTTCTTGTTACCCCTTTCACTGTGAGACTGGCAGTTTTTTAATACCCAGTAGTTCTCCTTCTTAAGGTCCTTTCACCAAATCATCTCTTAAACCCCATTTTGAAAAACGAAACAGATTATACTCCTTGAGTCCCCTCCTTTCAGCCATTTTTTCCAGCTCTCCATTTTCTCAATATCAGAAGCAGCTGTGCAGTATGGCAGGATCATTCTTACAAGAGCCATATGCAACATTAGT